AGGCACGTAGAGCTATAAACTTCCCTCTAAGGACAGCTTTTAATGTGTCCCAGAGGTTTGTTGTGTTGTATTGTCCTTTTCATTTAGTTCCAGGAAGACTTTTATTTCTTTCTTAATTTCTCCTTTGACCCATTCATCATTCAGGAATGTGCTATTTAATCTCCATGTGTCCATGTAGTTACTAGAGTTTCTTCTGATGTTGATTTTAAGCTTTATTGCTTTGTGTTCCAGATGGAATGAATGGAATTATTTCAATCTTTTTGCATTTGTTGGGATTTGTTTTGTGCCCCAGTATATGGTTAATTTTGGAGAAATTTCCATGGGGCACTAAATAGAAAGCATATTCTTTGGTGCTTGGGTGGAATACTCGGTAGATGTCAGGCCTATTTGATATATGGTATTGTTTATATTGATTAATTCGGATGTCTCTCTGTTAACTCTCTGCCCTGTTGACCTATCTAATGGAGACAGTGGGGCATTGAAGTCCCCTACTATTAATGAGTTGGGATTAATCTGGGTCTTAAAGTCCTGTAGTATTGCTTTTATGAAGTTGGGTGCACCAGAGTTTGGTAAATATACATTCATATGTCTACTGTATGCATAAATAAAAACTTATAAACACTAATATAACTATAGTGTCTTCTCTCTATAACTTGTGTTTTTACTTTAATAGTATCTTCTGATAAACAGATGTTAGCATTATAAATTTACCAATTTATGTATATATTTCTCTTTTACGTTTAGTATTTTTTGTGTTCTGTTTGAGAACTCTTTTCCCATCCCAGGGTCTATGAAATATGGGTTTTTCTGAATATTTCTTTTTACCTTTCATGCTTAGTTCTGCAAGCCTTTTGCAATTGATTGAAATTTTGTATATAGTATGAGGCACGGGTCAAGGTGTATTTCCCTACATATGAGAATATCCAGTTGACCAGAGCATCATTTAGAAAAATGCCTGGTTTCCCCTACTGTACAATAGTATTCCTTTGTGATATCAGGTATCTCTGTGTGAATGGGTCTGTACTAGATCTGTCCTATTGATTCTTGTACTATTATCATATTATCTTATTTATTTACAGTAGCTCTAATAAAAAAATTTTA